GTCTATAATTTGTGAAGTTGTGCTTATCCCCAGATTTATACAGTGGAATAACCTTTGCTATTTTCATATTATTGGGGAACTGGTTCCCAAGTCGAAACATGTTAAAAACATGGGTTAATGGTTTGCATATCCCCTCAATTGCCCATTTAACCATTGTCATACTGATACCATCACTATCACTGGATGATTTATTACCACATTTGTTCACTATCGCTATAATTTCCTTTTCAACTATGGGCTTCAGAAACATAGAACACATATTCCTTTCAATTGTATTGTTGTTGCCTTTGGTGGAGTGCAGTGCTTTTTACCTTCAAGTATAAAAGGCAGAAATATTCTCTAAGCTGCCTCAGGCCCAACAGAACCAATCAATCAATCAAGTCTAATGTACTCAGGATGGATACAGTATATTGCTGTCCTGCCTTGTAGACCTCTCTATCATGACAAGACACACTGACAGATCATGAGTTTTTGTGAAATCTATTATTTTTCCTAAATTCACTGGAGGAACTTTGGTATCATATCTGTATCTATGCCAGCTGATATCAAATTGTGTCATTGCAGGCAAAACTAGTATGAGCGCGACACCTTTAGAAGCACTTAACCCTCCTTGGGTCTAATATGTGCGTATGATGTATCGTATTTTGTTGGTGGACCACTGAACTGAATGCCCATCATGCAGCTGTGAAGCAGCCTTTCTGAATCAGCCCCCAGTAACAAGACTTTCTTTACAGCTTTGAAACAACATTTTCATTCAGACTAAAACTTTAGAGACTCAATTAATATATTTGTTATACGAGTCTGTTTTTTCAACATTGATAATATTTTACTTTTGGCATTTCTGTTTTCTCCAGTTTCATTTTTAAACTTATCTCCCCATTTTCCCCCTCTGTCACAGAAATGGCTTCCTTAAATAAAGTGCATTCACCTTTAGGTTATTAAAATTAATTCACTTGGAATTCTAATCACATTTTTGTTCAAGTAGTGAGTTAGTAAGTGTGCTTAATCTTCCAGTTTCTCAATCCCAACTTGACAAGCAGAGGAATTAATGAGGACACCTCTGATAAACATTTTAGATGCAGTCATCTGTGCAGGCACAGCTTTGCACTTAGATCCATGCTGATTCAAGTGATTATATAATCTGACAACAGTGTACCTGACTTTAGATCATTTCTTACCATTTACTTCTTCCATTTTGAAACTTGTCACCCAATATTTCCCTATTTTCTCCTTAATGGTAACAATTTAAAGGACTTCTAACTTGAAAGGTAACATAAAGTTGCCCAAAAAGATGCTAAATTGCCAAAAGTAGATTTAATCCTGTCAGACAAATTTTCATTAAAATGACAGAGGACTCCCTAGATATTCATCACATACAGTAGTAATACTATAATGTGAACAATAAAACAGCTTTATTATCAAACATTAGCATCAAAAAGGGTTTGTCGGTCATGTCTTGGTGAACACAAAGACCAGAAACAGGCTATTACAGAAATAACCATTTTGTCCATTAAGGATGGGCCATGATTGTAAATGCCTAGTCTCCAATTTCATAACAAGACATAAAACATGACGTGATATAAGACAGCACTTTGGTACGTGCCCTAAAATGGCAAACAGAATCTACTGTATTGCTTTCAGTGTAATCAATAAGATTTTAAAATTGATTCCAACATCAACTGCTGAAATGCTGCTGTATTTCATATGATCTCTCTAAGGCCAGTTAAAAGTTTTAAGTAAATATATGTCTCCAGCAACATTCAGAACTAAAAAGCAACAGATTTTAGAGTCTAGGATAAATTATAATCAGGCTTGTTATCCATAAATATATATTATTATAAGCCTGTATCACTTAAACTGCGGACCAGTCTTCCAACCATGATCCACCACTGTTTTGCAGGTGTTTTCTTCGTAAGCATTTAGGATATACAGTGTTGGGGAGAAAACTAGTTTAACGTAACTAGATGATGTAATTAAATTACAAAATAAATGTACATGTAATTGTAATCAGTTACAGTTACTGAGGAAGAATGTGTAATAAAATTTTAATCGACTGTCTGTGCAACAGGTTTTTTTTTTCCCCGTTACAGCTAGTCTGGTGACTTCTCTCCAGTCTGATAAAAACCTGCCAACTCACCAATTGCACATCTGACATTTGTGTGACATTCAAGCTCCTTTTAAGAAGCCTGAGTCACAGAAACATTTATAATACAGTATATTTCCCTCACATATTCCATTGTATAGAGCTATATTTCTTGATCCAACCTAATGGCCCGAGTGGATATCGTCTGATGTTTTTGCTCTGTCAGCGCTTTCTCAAAGTTCCCTGAAGGGAAATGAGATGCAACCTTTACAGATAAATTATAATGAGCAAAGAAGTGCAGCAGTAAAGAGGGTTCATCTTTTAAGCCAATTTAAACAAACACTAAAGCCAGAAAGCTTCCACCTTCAGAATAACTACTCCCACTACGTTTGACTGACTGCTCACATTAGAAGACAAATCTACATATACTGTAGCTGGCAGTTGTGTTTATTCGTGGAGGTAAATTTCAACATGGTTGTTATAGAGGGAAGTCACAATAACAATTCATGAAACTACCAGAATAACCACCAACACAACATTAGCTCTACATTGTCATCCCCCCTTCTCTGTCCATCAGCTTGGAAGGTTTAACGGTGACGTGTACAAGTGGGTTTAATGACTGTCCCCATATGATGTGTTAAAAAATATTTTTTTGAGAAGTGCATCTGCATTTTGGGCAGAGATTTGGTTCTTTCCGGAGCTCTGTTAATTCTCATGTTGGTTTGGAAACAGGCGCATCAACAAGCAATCATCTTTTTCACAGCTGACAAATACTGACATCATAATATGACAGATGTTTTAAACAGTGCTTGCAATTTACTGAGTTGAAATAATTTTTAATTATGTAGTTTTTCTCTTTAGTCAAGTCTGCTCTGTCTGTACAGTAACAATCACATTGGATGGGATCGTTTTCATTTTTTCCATCATGCCAAACTATCATAATCCTCTTGACAATAATGAGGCCAAACAAAACTTTCTATAATGTAAATTGGAACAACCCCTCTGGTTGGAGACACACAATGATCTACAGAAATGGAATTCTGGTAGTCTGGAACATTTTGATATGAGTAATGATTATAGGCAAAGATTGTGGAGTTCTAAAGTTTTGCTAAAAAAAAAACAATGCAATACATATGCATTTAAAAATGATGGATAATATCCCTCGATGCAGCAGCGTGTCTCAGAAATGGGAGTTGTTTTTAGTGGCTCTATCTATGACTTCTGGGACACAGAATGAACCTGCAGCAGCTTCAGTAAACAAAATCCTCTCTCTTTGTTGTGCTGTTGACTTTAAGAGTTAAGCTCTGGAGTTAAAGAAATTCTATCAGTTCATTTTCTGCTTCTGAAAGACCCTGCACTGACTGATAAAAAAATATTTAGATATGCTTTTTAAATATGTCAACATTATCACATTTTTAAATGTGCCAAACATTTAAGGTTATATTGCTGAATGAAAAATGTTGCCATTAAAATTAGCCCCTACTTATTACCTTACCATTCTTATAAATATCTAATTAAAGAGTAGTTAACACAGCTCGTTGTAATCTTCCATTAAAACCACATGCCAAGGTATGCATACAGCCATAAACTGTTTGACATATATGGTGACCCTCTTAAATCTTTTAGGCCATGATATGGAGAGGTCATTTTTTTCAGTTGTTACAGAGCCCAGAAAATCTACCAGACTTTTTTTCAGACCTTTGTTTCACAGTGCAAAACATTCAAGTGATTTAGAGCTGCATTAGTAAAGACTCTGCTAACCTAGCTAAATCACAAAGAGAGTGTACAATAGAGAAATACATGTGATCCCCTGAGCCTCAGTAGATTTACTAGATTTTCTCTAACATAAAACCCAAGTCTCATAGCCATTATTTCCTTACCAATAGGAAGTGAAAAATAAAAGAGAGAGAGAGAAAAATATCCATCTCCTAAACAGCAATGAGTAACTTTCACAAAGCTCAGTTCACCAGTATTAGAGCTTGTTGCTCACTGGTCTCTTTAACAGCCTTATAAAGAAATCACAGACCAGCTGAACTGATGAACATGTTATAAAGCAATCACAGACCAGCTGAACTGATGAACAAGTTCACATATGTGAACATCTGTGAGGGAAAACATCCATTACAATCTGGACCAGTGTTAGGGAGTTACATATTTACTGTAGGTGCACAAACTCACCTTCCCGTGAATCTTTTGTCCCAGGGGAAGTCGCTGCGTTGCCATGGAAACAAGAATACAAAACATTCCTGAAGAGAAGGCAACAGCAGCGAACACGAGACCCCAGGAGAGGCTGCAAAAGTAACAGGAGCTCTCAGCAGATGTGCACACCAGGACATGCACTGAAGCGAGCAGCAGGCACAGAAGGTAAAAAGGTAGGGAGAGCAATGTGGAGAGGACTGGGAGGTCCACTGCTGCTACACCGCTGAGGGCTTCAGGCATCGCCAGCAGTAAAACCAACAGGAGCTGAACGGCGGGGAGAGAGAGAAGGGGAGGAAAAGTTCCAGGAACTTTGATCAAGTTTTTGTTTAACTGATACAATCCCCTAAAACCTGGCAGTATACAGTACAGTACACACAGTGGAAAACTTATTCCTTTATTTTATGTTGGTAGTTCAGAGCAATGCCACTACAACACAAAGATAATGCATGTAAGAAAGACTGACTCATTGTACCAAAGCATTTGCTTCTCAATCCTTGTACAAAATAAACAAAAAGAGCATATTTTTGATGTTTTTCCTAAACCTCTGTGACTTTCATAGGCTAAGAAAACACAGCAATCTACCAACTGTTAAAGTGCTGCACTCACCTGAAACACAAACACCATGCCTGTGACCATGGAGTACATGTCGTACTTGCCCAGCTGTTTGCTGAGAGCCAAGCTCATGGCGGCCAGGGCCTCCAGATACTGCTTCAGGACCTTCTTGCCCATGTTGGACAGCACCTCGGAGGTGTTACCCTCCAGATAGAGCTTCATCCAGCTCCCATGAGCTTTTTCTGCCACACGGAACTTCTCAAAGCCAGCATCTGGAATGGAGAACAAAGCGGAGGCGTGTAGCAGTTGTAGTGGTTTCAGCAGCTGGTATGTTTAAATAGTGTGGTTTTAATGACCATTAATCAGGGATGATGTTAATGTTTGTTGTCAGTTAGAAACTTGGGGTTAATGTTATATTACGTTCTTTTTGCAGCTATTGTTTTATATATGCTGGGTTTGTCAAATTGAGGAGGACATTTGAGGCATCTCATTAGTAACCTCTATGGGCTTCCTGATGCGGCATCACATTAATTTTGGTCTGTTCATTTATCATCATGACAATTAAACTTATTTATGAAGCCAAACAATCTGAGCATTCCAATTATAAAACTTCAACTTCTGTTTGCTAAATGCCTCTATAATTAAAAACAATATTTTCAGTTTTATTTGTGTATATATATATAAATCAACAATCTCTCACCCTGTTTGTATGTATTAACACTGCTACAACTATGCTTGGATGCTAAGGTGCAAGTGGCTGAGGATGGCAAAAATACTCACTTTTTTACCTTTAGATTATTTAAAATCAAAGTGAACCATGAAAAAAGTGAAAGAATTCAGGCAGTGCACAGTTCTTTGTCTCACTTAACTAAATAGCCTCTTCAGACTGCTGCCTATCCTGCTGTATTTCATCATAAAGACAACGCAGGTATTTGTTTCCTTATGGATGAGAGTTCAGTAATCCTATTTATGACTTCATCAATCATTCTGATGCATGTTGGATGTTTTAAATGTATTCAGTGCTTTCTTTTTTTTTTTTGTATCAGTAATGTTCCTTACACTGAACTGATAATACCCTTGTGGTAAAAACCATTCATTCCTGAAGAGAATAATGCATAATTTGTCAAGACCCTAACAATGCCAAGCTATGATTCATTCACATGTTTACTCAAGGCAGAGGGAATTATGCCTGTTTTCATATTACTTCATTGCTTCAGGAGTTCAAGGACAAAGCAATGTGGAAGTCTGATTTGTGATATAGTTCAGAGCAACACACACACACACACACACACATTCACATATACCTAAAAACAATATTTGCAGTATAACACTTATCTCAGCAACAGAGGCACAGAGATGATAAATAGAGACTGTGGTTTTTCCAGACAGGGGGTTTGGTAGAAATATTAGAACTTTAAGCCACAGGCGTGAATCACACAACATCAAATGTCCTGGCCATGTTTCATCTGTCTAAAAGTACAGGATTTTCTTAATATGCCTCCAAGATGCCCAAGGTCAGAAAACACAGTATGAAGATTGAAACAAGGGAAACAGGCAAAGAAAGTGGCAGAACAAGGTTACTGAAACTGTAGCACCAGTAGCAGTATAAAGATAAACCAATACGATCGGAAAATCGATAGACGAGTCAGATTTACAGCTGCATTGGTTGAAAATCACAGATTCGAAGCAAATGAGTTTAAAATGGTCTAAAATCAATATGAATATCATAAGCCAATCTTTGGCAAGTTTTCTGTTGCTCCTCACTGTGTTCTGCTCTAACATGTGCCTTTAGTGTGTATGTGAGAGACACACCATCTCCTGCCGGAGGCCTAGTGGTGTGAAGCTTATATATACAGCTTAATATACACTCACCTGGCACTTTATTAGGTACACCTGTACAATTGTGTGCTAAATAAAAATCATTCTGAATTGTACCGCATCATATAGTTGCAAATTTTGCTGTATTGTTTTTGTATATAATTGTGGACTATGTATCGAGATATGCATCGAATCATGTGAGGGGGAGAGATACACACTTCTAATCACCAGAGTTTGAAAATGTTATTACAGGACAAAAAAATGATTGCAAAAACCTATTAACAGAGATTGCACAACAATGACGAAAGCAAACTTGGAGGCCACTGATATAGTTTTGTCTCCCTGATGAAACATATTTGAATGTTGACAGCAGCAACAGAAGGCTGATTTCTTTTAAGTGATTTCTTTCACACTTAGTACGATGTGACCTCAACAGGTGTCCAAGAGGCAGCAACTTAAAATATCATCCCAGGCGACTTTCCCAGCAGTGACGACTACTACATTTTACTGCAAAACAGATTCATGATTACCCAAGTTCACAGATTCAAAAAATCCACACATTCATATGTAGGTCTGCTGTAATAACTTGCACTTTATCCCATCACTATGGAAACCAGGGACCAAAATGGAGTCAAAAATGTGCTGCCAGAGTAGAAACTTTTTAACAATATGAAACCTAGCAGTTTGTTTACAAGTTTTGAAAATGCATTATTTGCTGCCTAAATTGTGCAAGATTGTGTTTTCTTTTAAACAGGACACCACGCTTTCACCATTATTTTCTTCCTTTATATAAATGTGTCAAAGCAGGGGTGATAACAGGGCCTTTTTAAAGTATGTGGATGACAATGTAGTTGTTAAACTTGATTGATGATTCTGTGTCGAATCTGTGTAGAGCCTAGCCATACACTACACAAGTGTATGTGCCATTGTGAGCATTTTTACTTGTCAGCTTGTGTCTGTGTTGCCCTGCAGCTACACCACCAAAACACTAGTTGGCAGTGGGATTGCCAATGTGTCGCATTTCTTCACCATTTACCAACAATGGCGACTGAAACTGAGTGGGTCACGTTGGAGTTAAAACTAATAGATGTTGAACAGCAGTTACTTGTACTTGAATAAGTGCAGCACATAAGAGAGAAGACATCAGAGGAGATGGTCTGTCTGACCACTGAACCAGCTGAGGCAACGCGAGGGGAATTTTTTTTTGTGCTTGTCCGGCCAGAGAGACGTGAACAAGGAAATGTTATAGTTGTTACAGTCTGTATCACCACAACATTGCATTTCTAGAGAGGAGCACGTCAGGCTACGGCGTAGGGTACAAGGCTACAAATTACCTACATTGCATCTATGGGGTAGATTCAACACAGAACCATTAATCAAGCTTTAGTCTGCTTCAGAACAATGAGACTAGTCATATCCTGGTCATCACTGACTTTGTGAAGTGGTATGAGGAATCCTGTCTTCTGTGAAACCCATCTAAGACTTAAGGATATGGTCTCTGATTTCAGAATATAGGCCCACGTGTCACATTCAGTAAGGGTCAGACAAAGGAAGGTGTACAATTATACAAATATTGGTTAACAATTGACAAAAAAAAATTGAAATTTGAGGCAAACTGTGAGGCTGTGTGCAAAAAGGGGCATCAGCATTTGCTGTGCTTGAGGAGACTCCCGTTTTTACACTCACTATGATGATTTAATTTTATCATAATTTAAATTTTTGGTTTCTTATCTTTAAAAAGCAGGAATTCTCTGAATTGTATTGTCAGGTGGGCTAGTAAGTTGACTGGGGAGTCACAACCCTGTATACGACACAGTTACAGCATTTATTTGGCTCACTTTTGACTGAAGATGCACATCCTTTGTACAGTGAGTTTCACTTTCTCCCCTCTGGACAACATTTTGAAGTACCCAACAGCTACTATTTGCATGGATAAGTTATAGGGACAGAGCACAAATGACAAATGTTTGTCTCATTATTCTCATTTGTACACTGAAGTGCCATAGTTATGGTGTGATTATGGAGCACTACGCACTTTAGTATTTTGTAGCACAATGTTTTGTTGTAGTCAAGACCACCTAAACAAAGTCGAGACCAAGACCAGTGTATCAACATTGATAGACGGTTGATTAAAAAAAAAAATGCAGTCAAGTCCGAGATGAGACCACAACATTACTATTTGTGTTTTACCATGGATGACTCATGTTTACTGCAAGCCAAATTTACTCACAGGTACAAATAAAGTAACTTGAACTGTACATTTGTCTTACGTTTCAACAAGGGACAATATTGCTTTTGTAATCAGCATACTGAAAACTTGGACAACATACAAATGTGCAAGTACCCAAAGACATCACGCAACTAAGCATTTTATTGGCCTGGTTGTCCAGGAGCCATGAATCTGTCTAGCAAATTTAAAGGCAATACTGTACATCCAGTTATACTGAGATCTTTCCATCTGGACTGACATAGCTCTCAGGACTCCATCTATTCATCGCCCATGCCAGTGATTCATGTAAGAAGATCTTGACCACATTTGAAAAACAGGTATAAACTAGTAGTTCATCTTCAACATTAGGTTAATACAAAGTCTTACAGATCCAGGTACAGGCCTGATCAACAAGGAATCATTGCCAATATAATTTGGTTTTTTTGACACTAATCAACAGAAAAGAACATTCATGTCACAGTGAAAACAGATCCATACAAAGTAATGTAAATTAAATAAAAATAAGAGAAAATAATTGATTGCATCAGTATTCACCTCCTTTGAGTCAGAATTTGGTAGAGTAGATGCATGTTTGGCAGCAGTTACAGCACTGAGCCCGTGTGGACAAATCTCAATCAGCTTTGCACATCTGGACACTGGAATTTTAACTCCATTCTTCTTTGTAAAGCTGCTCCAGCTCCATCAGGTTCCATGGAGATCATGAGTGAACAGCCCTTTTCAAGTCCAGCCACAAAATCTCAGTTGGATTAAGGTCTGGGCTCTGACTTGGCCACTCCAGATCATTAACACTGTTGTTTTGGAAACATTTGTGTGAAACTCTGGCTGCATGCTTGGGGTCATTGTCTTGCTGGAAAACAAATCTTCTCCCAAGTTGCAGTTCTCTTGCAGACAGCATCAGGTTTTCCTCCAGGATTCCCCTGTATTTTTGCTAGATTCATTTCACCCTCTACACTCACAAGCTTTCCAGGGCCTGTTGCTGGGAACCATCCCCACAGCATGATGCTGCCACCACCATGCTTCATGGTGAGGATGATGCGTTTGATTTACGGCAAACATAATGTCTAGTATGATGGCCAAAAAGCTAGAGTTATAGAACCTTCCTCCAGTTGACTTCAGAGCGTCCCACATGCCTTCTGGCAAACTGTAAACAAGATTTAATATGAGCTTTTTTCTAACAATGGCTTGGTTTCTCTCCCATCTCAGCCACAGAAGCTTGCAACTCCAGAGGAGTCACAGGTGTCTTGGTGGCCTCCCTCACTAGTCCCCTTTTTGCACAGTCACGCAGTTTTTGAGGATGACCTGCTCCAGGCAGATTTACGCACGTCCCATATTCCTTCCATTTCTTAATGATGGTTTTAACTGTACTCCAGGGGACATTCAGTGACTTTGAAATTTTCTTGTATCCATCCCCTAACTTAAGCTTTATAATAACCTCTGGACCTTCCAGATGCAGGTATATTTATATTACAATCACTTAAAACGCATTCAGTGCATATGTGATCTCCATTAAACTAAATGTATGACTTCTAAAACTAGTTGGCTGCACCTGTGATGAATTAGATGAGTCACTTTTAAAGGGGGTGATGACTTATGCAGTCAATTATTTTGTCATGTATCAATTTAGAAAACTCTGTATGGATCCGTTTTAACTCTGTTGATCAGTATCAAAAAGTCAAACTAAAATAGATCATGAGTCAATGTTGTAACAAAATAAAAGGTGAAAACTTCCAAGGGGGGTGAATACTTTTTACAGGCCCTGTAATAATTCTTAAATCAGTCCTGCATTTCTTGCTTTCTGGTGACCAAATACGTTCTTGCCGTTTTGTGTCTTTAGAAAATCCTCAGTAGGTAGAATGACCGCAGGTTTTTAAGTGTCCCTGGCACCACTTTCTCTGCAGGGTCTTATTTTGAAAGCAAAAGCCATTCCATTTTCACGGTACAACTGATATAATAAAAAAAGTAAATAGATTTCTGGTGAAATAAACAGCCTGTGAAGATGATGAAATCTTAATTTCAATGCTACATGTCCAATTATTTTCCAAACACCCCACTTATCAGAGTTTTCTCTCTTACTGTTTCAGTCTCATGTAGAACAATATGACAAATAACGTGACAAATCTAACAGCAACGGTAAATGCTGCCACTGGGGTATCACATATTTTAAAACATGAAGGACGGCAACAATGAGGGAAACAGATAGGTGTGGGGGAGCGGCTGAAAGATGGATAACTCTGACAAGCAGTGTGGCCCCGAGATAGTAAGGAGGAAAACTGTGTGAGAATATGTGCATGGATTTGCACAAAGAGTAGGCAGCATTAATGTCCAAGAACAGACCAGAGACAGTTTGTGAGTCTCCTGTGTGGTGTTTTCAGTTATTTATTCACAGACCTAAAAAAAAAAATAAAATAAATCCATATAGAGGTTTGCTGTCACTTATATCCTGACATGGCAGCGTGTTCACAACAGGGCTGCCTGTTTACCACTTAGTCGGTTGGTTTCTCTTACTCTAGCACTGGGTTCAGTCTTTTTTTCCTCATAAACTGTTCCCAGCATCATAGAGTCATAAGGCTAAAGGATTGCAGTGTTCATAAGCTTTGGTACGATCAATCTTTTGGATTTGTATGACGGGTCAACCCTGGTCTTAATCAGATTCCTACAGGTTAAATGCTCTGAGCAGCTGCTTTAATGCAGTCAGCAACAAGGTGCACAAAACTGTGAGCGGAATGTACATAAAACAGTAACCTACATAACACAGTGATCACGTTAGTCTGAGTTAACATGCTGTACAAACAGGTGACAGATGAAAAGCCAATATAACATGTCTTAGTAAGGTGTTGGGTATTCACCAACTAGTTGCTCACTTTGTCTGACCGTTGTTTGATGCTGGGCAGACTGATCATAAGTTTAATGAAAACTGATGCCTGTTACAGAGAAAGATAAACGCAGTAAGAATGAATCAAAATAGTAAAGTTGCAGGCTGTAAAACAAAAAACAAACAA